ATTCTCAGGAAAAAAATTTATATCTCTTATCGCACGCAATAAAAATCCCAATGAAAATTAAAAAAGAATGACACCCACAAGACTCCTGATTTAAATAAAGAATAAAACTGTGACATTCAAATCATCATCTTAAGACAAGATTCCTTTGAAATTGCTCGTTTCCGTAACAACCAAATGTATTCAGTGCCGTTTCTTGTGATTCGCCCCTGAGCAATTTTCCATCATCATGGGCACTTGTACCCGAAAAATCCTCTTGCATTTGCCGAAGAGTGGCAATAAGATGGCATACATGAGCAGAGAAGCTACTGAAGGGTATGTTGTTTTGGATTTATTGAGGACTGAAATAAAATTCTCTCTCACTCTCTACATAGGCATCATATTCGAGCGCCACAACTTGTTCTCTCTCCCTCTCTTTTGCCCCTGAATTTTCTCCACTGTGTATTTTTTTTTCATCATCATATATAATTCTCAAACTCTCCTTTGTCTTGGTTTCACAAAATCCATCTCAAGCGCCTGTGAGAAAATATACGAAAAACCTGTTCCACTCTAGACTTATTATTTTCTTCTTTTTGGCATTTTACACACTCCCTTGCCGAGGCTCTCTCTCTCTCTCTCTGCCATCAGCCAAGATCATATAAAGACATGCGATCAAAATGTTTTGTTTACATCAGCCAACAGACATCAGAATATCAAAGAATTTCGACATATTTTTTTCCACAGAGAAAAAAAATGGAAGAAATAAAATCTTCAACTCTTCTCTTTGGAATGAAAATCATACACATTACAAATGATTTTTAATTACAACACACTGAGTGATATTCACAGTTACGATTAAGAGCCAGCTAATTGATACATATTCTTTTCGATTCCACTTCACAAGAAGCAAGAGAATAATGATAAAAATAAAATATTACAGATGAAAAGAAAAGAAAAAAAACATGAGTAGAAAACAGTGAGTTATTGATCGGAAACACTCCCCGTTGTTATGTTAAAAAGCAGTTGCAATTTTTTGCAAAACTTCTTCTTTCTCTCTAAAAAAAAAAAAAAAAAATCTCTTCCTGATACAACCGTAAGTATTCATCCAATATTCAGGTAATTTCACGCACTAAATAATAATTGCAATTTAATAGGGAATTTGCCTATTAAACCCATTGTACGCAGTCATCGACATTCGACGGCGCTGTTTATTTTGCTAATAAATTTCAAAATTGGATGTTTATATGTGGAAGGAGAACTTCACGTGAGCATATAAACACAAGAAGCATGAATGGAAGGTAGGCAAAGGTACAGATCGTTGCTGAATTATACAACAAACATGAGATACATTATATTGTTAATTATTTTGGTATTGATATTGGTCGTCATTTCAATTGAATTCGAATACTCTTAGTCTATATGTACTTAAGAGCTCACAGTCTATCTATTTCAATTAGCAATTATCAGCAAATTCATTTGTAATTATTATCAATTCAAATTTCATGCTTCTCTTCTGAGGAGAACTTTAAAGGCAAAATCACCATAAATTTAAGCAAATTCATTGCTTTATTGTCGCACAATTTTATTCGGATTTATTGTGTAAAATATTCCGAATTTAAATATTTTGCATCCAAACATGCATGAAAATTTGATTAATATTGAAAAATATACTAAAATATAAAAGTATATTGCGATTGTCGTGATCAATCTCGACGGCAGTAACTCAATTTCAGTATAAACAATATGAACCAATGTGAGAAGCTGAAACACGATACTGGGTGATTTTAATTAAAAGCTAATAGGAATTGGAGGAGAGGAAATCTCATCTATTTCCATCTAATTTTACACGACTCTGGCCTGTATGAATTATTGATTTTCCTCCCCTTCTGCAACCCTTTCGCCACCATTGATTCCCCACTGAGTCAGTTGCAGGAGTGGGAAAAACCGCATAAATTCTGTCTTCCTTGTTTCCACTCCAAACATACAAATTGATGCATACATAACTGTTCGACACAAGTTGCAGAGAATCATTGAAAGGTGGAAATGAAGAAAAGTTATGAAGAGACGCATAAATAGAAGTGTTTGTTCAGCACCTTGAAGTGCAAAAAGGTATGAAAAAAAGCACCAGATTTCCTTATCTCGCTGTCTTTCAACACTGCCATTATCTTTCATGTTGATATTTTGATATCACATTTCAAAGAGTGTAAAAAAAACACGTCTTCACCTTTATATTGCAACTTCATCGTGTGCTTTGAGAATCAGTGGAGTGATGAGATTTTTCTGCACAAACTCTTCTTCTTCATCCATTGGCATATTGCACATTTATGTACATATATATGCACCAATGTAGCCTTGAATTGCAGCAACATCAATTTGCATTTTGTGCGACATGAATGAAAAATTGAACATGAGGAAAATCTCCTTGAACAATAAAATTCTCTTCATGTTCCAAACTCCTTCATTGAGATTTTATATGCCAACGACAATGAAGGTACTCTGCTTCTCCTCTCATTCAAACTTCCCTGGCCGTGTTCAGACATTTGCAGATGAGCGCGCGCGATGCTCAAGCCAACAATAGCTCTATAATACATGCTTTTTTGCAAATTGAAGCAATACATACAATATTGAAGCTTGAAGGAAAAAAAAGAGCCGATTTAAAATAGAGAGAAACTCACAAGAGTACAACTTTTCATTTCTCAATTTGCAGCGCTAAGCTTTTTTCCACCTCTTTTCTTCCTCCTCTTGTCACAATTTGATGAATCTTCAATGATTTTCCATGGTCTCTCTGCGCTATTGTGTCTGATCCTCCTCATCCGCACCCTTTTACAGACTCTCTCCTGACTGTTTGCAATTCATATTAATACCCTTGAATGCAGGTGTGAATAGTCAAAAGGAAGAGGAATGCCATTAATCACTGCAGCATTTCATTTACCAATCCGCCAAAGATGTTTTATCACTCTCAGTTGAAAAATGTCTTTGAACAACAAAGTGAGGTTCTCCTCTCACGGTATTTATAGAAAAAAGAAGAGACATGCATGCACAATTGTTTTCCTCCTCTCCAAACCCAACTTCACAATCTTATTACTCACTCTACCATATCTCCAGATATATTTGTCGTGTGCAATCTTGCACAATAACTCATTCATTTCCGTGTAGGTAATAATTAGAATTTCAATTACCAACGATGAATCTGCAATACGGACTGTGACTATTAAGGCATTACCTGTTGCCATTTCAGGATAAGACAAGACAAGGACAAAATTTCAGTCTTAGTTCCAATATGTGAGAAAAGTTTCATAATAGACAAGTTTTTTTTTCTGTGAAATCTCATGATTTCACGTCATAATTTCATACACTTCACCCGTGTTATTTCCTCCCCGTTTTTCTTCTTTAAGCACGTGAAACGATAACATCACGAACAGCATATTTTGGATTTCTTGCATCAAAACACTCTTCCTGAGGAATTCTGTCATGGAAAATTTCACAAATAATCCCATCATCTTCGCAGGAAGAATATTTAGCATGTGTAGAAGGTGAAGAAACATAGAGAAACTTGTAGTATAATTTATGATTGATTCCCTGTATTCTCACAGGAATGTGCCTCTATTGTAACCCATAATTATTTCACCTGGTTTCACATCTTGCCATCAGCAGCCCGAGCGCATATTCTCTCCAATACCTCAGCATATAGTGTCAAAAAAAATCGTATACAGATTACAGAACAACATACCAGAGGATGATCGTATTAAAAGTTAGGTAGATTACGCATTTTGAGATGAAATGTACAAAACACATACGAAAGTAAGAATATGGTGAGAGCCACGCCGAGGGAATAGTGCGGTATTTATTTTTACCAACCCACATCATCTGAAGAGAAGAGAAAAAGAAGCGACGAAAACCCATAGTTAGGCTTCTCTCTTCTTCCTATATTGGCTCAAGTCAAATATTGTCTAAGAGACTCTTTCTCCTATATTCGGTGCTTTTCTCCCGCTGTTACCTTTCTTCCATTCTCACCTCCTCTCCCTTCGACACCTCATAGTTGTATATGCAGGCATCAAGCATCTTCTTTTTTCTTATATGGAACAAACATTCCATGCGTCAGTTAAAATGTCGGGGAGAATTGAATTTGAATTTTACAAAGCAATTTGTGGAGTGAATTTTTGAGGTTTTGAGGAGTGGCAATTTCCTAGCCAAAATACCCAAGGCAAATGGTAGACACATTTTAGCGTATACGCTTTTATTTACTATTCCATAATGCTCACACAGTGTCAATGACCCCAAAAGAAATCCGGTCAATTGAACACTCAACATAGCTTTCTCACCCACTTTGTCGTCGATACTTTTCAGGTCATCTCACAGGATGATAATTTCTCACATTCATAGAATAACATTCGAATTTCCCAGTCATCATCAAAGTCCAGAGTTCAGTGACCTAGACCAGAGATTTAATTTACAATTGAAATCGAACAAAATCCCCAGGTGAGCCTCACAAAGAGAGAGAAATTCTCTCAGATGCCTGTTGTTGTATAAATTCAATAAAACATTGCCCATCCCAAAAACCGGAGTAAATTACAGTGATTCAACAGAAAGATTCTCTCTCTCTCTGTGCGCAAATAATTTTCTTGGAATCATTATTATAAACACTTTGTCGTAAGAGGAGGAATTATAGTGATTTGCAAATAAATGCACAGCTATGAAAACAGCCTCTATTTGGTGTATTTTTTTTTAGACAAATTCCTATCTTTTGACACCCATTGAAGGGTGAAAAAAATCAAACAATATTTGCAGATTGATTAAAAATCAATACATTTTGCACTCACGTAACAAATATGCTTTCTCCTACATTATTTCAACACTATCCAGTGAATTTTCCTAAGCGGAAAATTCTCCAAAGGCTCGATATTACATTCTTTCCACAACCATTATAGCGAAATCTCGTCAATTTTGCAACGAGAAACACAAACACACAGACACATGAGGAGGAATTCTTGCAAAAGATGTGCACATAAGTTATGTGGTCGTACCTATAACCGTGTTCGCTGCCACCTCTTTGGCCGCCGCTGCCGCCGCCGCGGGTCCGCAATGCAAAATATCCGACAGCGAAAGTGACGACGCGATCAATTGGCGCTTCTCCTCGAAGTTCAAATAATCGAGCGAATTGCTGCGCTGTGGCGTGACAATTGCCACGGATTTTTGCATCACAACAATATTATTGGCACCACTATTGTTGCCACCGCCAATACATGGACCACTGCCACCCACATTTGGCGATGGCTGCTGCGGAACCATTTGGCTCCGCATCGACATGATCGTCTCACGCTGAATTTAACGCACTTTCTTCGCAAATCCCAAATTCTTCACTATCGCCGCGCACTTTCCTCTAATTGAACACACACAAAAAAATTGATAATCAATACAGCACACACGCACTCCTTCGCACAATCCTCAACGATGGGCCATTGTGGCCAAAACAATCTCCCAGAAATTGCTTGTTTGTATCAAAATATGCACATTTCATTTTGGGAATCACTATTATTGGCACTCAAAATACCCCACTTTGGCTCTCTCTCACTGCAATCTCTACAAAATACTCTGAAATAGCATTTCCATATTATTAATTTTGCCAATATATAGAAGTCCAAAACGCCCAGTGTTTGTGCCTTTTTCCATCCTCCAGTGTTGCAAAACCTATTTTTGGCCAGATTTATTTGCCCACCCGCCTCAATGTGTAGCCAGAATAACTGACTCACGGGTGATTACCAACGGAATTTCCACCCGAAAATTATCCATTTACGACGTTTATTGGCGTTCAGCCAATAAATTATTTATTTTTTTGCACACTCAAAGCATTCTTTCTCTACATATTAATACGGAAAAAAGAGCCTCTTAATTGACTGGTTTTGGGTAGCGCTTCATGAAGCCCAAATATTCCACAACTGTGTTTTCGATAACAAAATTCTTTCCCTCTATAATTTCATCACTATACATACATATCTTCATGAATAATTGAAAGTTGTTGGATGAGAACAATTTTTATGTTGAATTTCTGATTTTCTAAACCAGCCGAAAGAATTTTTTCATTAAAAATTCCAAACATCAGCCACGTGAAATTCCTTCCCGAAAAAAGAATCAATAGATAAGGGCACCAATAACTCCACAGCCTCAGTATCTAATTGCCCATTAATCTGTGAATAAATTGACTAGAATGCGTAAAATTTGACATTCCTGACTCATAAATTACTAATCAGTGCCTCGAGTTGACCTCCAAAGCGAATGCCTATTGTCGTCGTTGATCAAGTTCAGGCTCTTATGTGATTTCTCACATGATTCCAATCACCTGGTCTGTGACTAAGACGCACTTCTCGGACCTACATTTATTGCTATTTGAAATTACTATTGGCACATTCCTCTATTTGCCATCATGTTAATCATCAATTACATAAATTCGTTGTGCTTCCTCACTTGAAAATTAAATGAAAATATAGAGCTCTGAATTACATGAAGCAATTCGGTGTGACGCCGAGTCCATTTCTTTGTTCACAACCCAAACAACACTCCTCATATCTTGTTTTTTGAGGGGCTCAAGCACACCTGCCACCTGCCAGGCCCACGGGAACCCTCCTCAAACACACTCACGTATAGTTTAATGTACAACTTTATAGGATTGTCTGGTCTCAACTTCCCCTGTCTGACTTTTCACCCTATCGCCGTTCCTCTTCCACTCACAACATCGTGCATATATGCAACTTATGTGTGATGTCGCAGACAACAGAGAACCAGACATTGGCTAATAATATTATTGGAAACTGGATAAAATGTGAAAGTGCTTAGGAATATCGTTAGATTTACAACTTGCACGTCCAATTAAGATGAAATAGAAGAGAATATGAATCAAAGCGCACATGCTTTACAAAATTTCCACCCAAATCCAATTGTAGCTTCACATTGAAAAGCTCTGTGAAAAATCACTCCCATCTCGTCTAGGTAGAATTTCTCTCTACAGGAAATTCCGTAATTTATCTCTGCGGAGACATGATAAAAAAGACTCCCTCTAATTCTACGTGCTCGTCTTTTTTTTCTCATGTAAGACCAGGCGTCACACACAAAACACTCATCACTTTGGTATTCGTATGTTAATTTTATATGTAAAAAAAATTGCGCTATATAGTTGGTGGTTCACCATCAACTCAAACATATGTCAAGCATGAAGAATTTTGCACCGAAAGCCACGCAAAACAGCGCAATAACCATATTTTTCTCTCTCTCTCTCGTCGAACTTTGAAATTATTATATTTCGCCCCAAAGTGAATTGCACTTCTTTCAGCGCATTTTATTATTGATGACTATGCTGACAATACTTTACTATGGATTGAGTGTTTGTTGTGTGTGTGTGGAAAAAATATGCAAATTCCGATATGCGTCGAAAATGAATGGGATAAAAATAAATCTGGCCAAAATATTGTGTGTGGAATTTCATTCCACTGAAGAGAAGATCTTCTCCGCACTGTTTGGATTGTAATGGAAAAACACACATTTTCTTCACACATTTTGTCTCCTCACTCTTGAGACTTTACCTATTTCTCGAAAATATTTGACATTGCCTCTAAATTGCCGTAGTAAATGCACACGAGAAGAAGAGAAGAAGAAAAAAAAAACCGAATCAACGCAACACACCCAAGAAATGGACAGTGGTGTGAGTTTTGTTGAGGGAAAACACGAATATTGTCTCTCACTTGCACACTATCTCGCCACTCTTCTGTCTCTCTCATAAAATGGTCGGCACAAACGATCTAATTTTACACTCAAGAATTGCATCGATATGATATACATTTGTGGCACATAATTGAAGGAATTCAGCCATGAAGAGACACTGAACAGTTTTCACAGGAGCGCATCACTCTCTCTCTTTCTCTCTCTCTCTCCTCCTCCTCCTCTTAAGCTAATCCATAGGGAAGTTGTATGTAAATTTGGCGGTGGTTTCTTGTAGAAAAAAAATTAGTCTTCTCCGCACAACACAAAATATTCACCACAGGTTGTAACGATAGGAGAATATATAGAAAAATTACTATACAACACTTTCTCACGAAGGACGAGACTTTGCTGCTGCCATCTCACCACAAAGAAGTGCTATAAACGACTAAATTGTCCTCTCTTCTCATCGTAAAACTCAAGCTATACACACATTCCACAATACTCTCCCTCTCTTTCTCTCTTCCCACTCACACACACGCACACACTCGCCGTGCATGCTTAAAAACACTCACACTGCGCCAAAACCCGCCTGTTCGCCATGGAAGCGCGCGCGAGAGAATGAGAGAGAAAAATACAAACCATAAGTTTGCCATAAAAAGATCCCAAACACACACCAACACTCGTGCACGCCATAATTTCTCTCAGCGCTTTGGATAGCATATCTCTCATGGCATTACTTGTCTCTCTCTCTCTCGCTCTCTTCCACTCTGATGTTCTATAAATTTTCAATGGCTGAAGAGGGCAAAGAGAAACATTGCTCCATGTGTTTACCGGTTATTTTTCTCTTCACTAACTCCATCGCACTGCGCAATCTCAGTTTGGTATTACTACCAAAAAGCACGACAAACAAAAGCTCCATCCGGTATCTCATGTATGAGATGCTCATCATCCCATTCATACTCTTTAAAAGTAACACACTTTGACTCTGGCTGAAGAGACTACTTGAATAGACACACACAGGAGAGTCAGAAGACTTTCATGCTTCTCAAATTCTACCCAGAATTCACAGATTGCGAATAATTTATTCACATTACAAATTTAAGCACGTGACGCGGTATCATTTTCATCACAACCGCAGTTTGTACTTTCAAGAATTTGCGGCTATTCGTGGAAACCGTGAAGTATTGAAATCTCTTCACTTTCACTCTCTCTCTCCACATCGAACATCAACTGTATATTTGATTGATGAGGATGATCACAAGTGTGAATAAATCTCACTTATCAATTTTCACACTTCATACAGGTAGCACCATAAATCGCCAATATCTCTCTCTTTTTCTCTCTCTCTACTATTTGCATGATATATCAGCCACTTCATCGCCAACAATTTCCATCCCAGATTACTTTTTCACCTCTTCGACATCCAATATTATTAAATCTGCCTTCCACAGCGTGGGTGGAAAGGGCAGTGAAGATTACAGTGGGTAAACAGCGATGTTCTGAGGCATTCGCGTAGTGCTCGAGTGGCATGAATTCCTTATGACACACATTGATTATGCATTTTACCGCACTATATTCTCATATTCTTCATGTATTTCTCAAACGTCTGTCCCAAATCTACTGAATTATGCGAATTTCAAATAAAACTGAAGGTTATAGAGATTAATTATTAGTGAATTATACCACAATATCTCTGAAATCACAATGAGAACTCATCCAGATATTGTCGAGACCAGCATGAAGCCATATTGAGACTGTATTCCTGAAAGAAACTAAAGGGATATTGGTGGAAAATCAATATCTCACAATACTCAGAGAGAGTCAATCAATTACAGTGTCGCTCTTCCGCTACAGTCAACTGCAGAGGTTGTGCAATAAAACATATCGAGAGAAATCAATTTCTCCCAATGGATTTCATAGAGAAGAATTGCTATCCAGATGGCTAACAGAATGACTACATTTCACAAAAATTGAACCAGCCAATGAGTGACAAAAAAGAGACGAAAATCACACTTTCTGTATGAGTAATGATAATAAGATTATTTCATTAAATATTAATTTGATTTCAACCAAGGACAAAGTGAAAACTGAGACGTGATTCTCAGCAATTCTTCTTCCCATTCTCACTCTTCCACATCTTAAGATTGTTCCGAAATACACACAAAGCAGAGACGAGAAATGATTTGAGATGGAAAGAGCTAGAACCACACTTGATGATGAGTTCAACGTTTGAAGGATGATCACATGAATGATTGACAGAAACAACAAAATATATACGAAGAAAGAGATTTACTTCACATCTCTTTCCCCCGCACAAACATAAACAACGAGACAACTTATGAAGAAAGTCTCTTCTCCAGACTATTAATATCATGAGTATCCTTAGTGGTGATTGAAGCAATAAATTTCGTGTCTTTCCTATTTGAATATTTATCAATATAGTGTACAAAAATAGTAAATAATACAGAATAATTGTACTGTTTCACCTCTTTACGCTATCACATGTAATCTTATTCTAAAATCCACCCTCGAAATGTCTGAAGAAGAGGCAGGATTGTAAGATATCTCATCCACTTTGCTTGCTTGCTCATTGGTTTGTTCATTTTATTGGAAAAACATGAGTTTGTCTTCTCTCATTCCACAGGCTTATTTGATGGCAGATGAGACTAAGATGAAAGAAATTATTTGTATATCGATTTCAAATAAAATTCCCATGAAGAGAGGGATGTTCAAGTGCGCAAAGTGAGAGTATCGAATGAGAAGGGCATGCGAAATAATGAATTCAGCACCCATTCTTCTCGTCAAAGCTCTCACATAACCACCACGCTTCGTATTCGCCCAAAAATCCATTCGCATATCATATTTGATGTTTCATGTATCGGAAAGAGGAAACACAGCAGATAAATATATACATATAAAACATGTACACAGGATATTATGTTCTAGACGATGGTAATATTTCGATATTCTCAACAAATATGTGTGCCGTGCGTGAGGGTGAGAAGTATTCCAGTGCTCTACATGCCGATGATGGTGAGAAAATTAGGACGAGATTTGGTCGAATTTGCACTTAAGCCAAAATCACAAGCAAATCATGTTAATTGTGAAATAGTAGAAGATTTTCTTTCTGCACTTAACATGTGAAATTCATAATGAATTCTAATTTAAAATGGATTTATTCTTTCTTATCCACGATAAGGAGAAGAAAAACTTCATAATAATGTGGGATAAAAATTGCAAAGCTCACAGAAAATATACTTACTTTGCTCATATTCTTCCTAATATGAATTTCCAAAGGAGAATTCCTCCTTAGTTTGCCATTACATAGTATTATAACGACCGTCTTATGTCATTTACTTAGGATATTGAGCTACACTCGCTGTTCTGCACAAGAAAGTGCATCACGAAGAGAATGCACAGCAATTTCAACACACTTCAAGAGTTCATTCTCAGCTATTTCAACTATTGCGATCGCTCATATCATTACCGAAACAAATTCATTTAAACAGGAAACTTTTTCTCAACGTCCAAGAGATAAGACACTGAGAGAAATGAAAGAACAATACAGCAACTATAAAGCCTTTACTTTCTCTCAATTTCAGGAGTCTCTTGTCTTTTATCTCAATTTCTAAGGATGACTCAGAGCGAGAAATTGTTTTCTTCACTCTTGCCGCTCTACATAATGCTATCCAGGGAATTTTCATTAAGTTCAGCATATGCTTAACATTGCCGAGGGTTAACATGAAAACTTCATTTTCACATCTATCAACCATAATACAAAATACACACACCCATTTTCTCTTCTCTATTCTGTGAAAATACTTTGCACAAAGCGATGGAAAGTCATGAGGTGAAAATTCTCTTGTTTAAGATGCGTCTCAAAACTAAACTGAAAATTCACAGAGAACAAAAACACAAGGACTAAAAATAAACTGAGACTAATTAGTCAAAGTATTTCAATAAACATTTCTCACTTGTTCCTTTTCTCTATATTTATCTTAACTTCCAAAGGACTCTTGTGAGCGCCTGGAAATTTATATGTGTCTTTTCCCCGTGTGAAAATGAACCCTAAAATAGCCTCTGTCTCGCGTTCTCTTCCCCACTTTCTCAACACACTGGGAATCTTGTGAGATGGATGAAGGGAAGTTTTCGCTCTCTCTGGAAACATTCTCATTTGTATGTGTGAATCAAATTAGCATAAAACATTGTCTTTCTTGTAAAATGGCAACTTCTTATAGCATGTTATTCAGGTGAACATAAAATGCTAGAGGGTGAGAAGAACTTCACCCACTTTCGACAGCACTTTAAGTGTCCCAAAATGAATTAAGTGCGCTTTAAAGTTATCACAGCCAACAGGAATTTGACTTGGAAAATGCTCTAATTTTCCTACAATTGTTCCCAAAATATTATCACAACGGAACTGCGTCACACGCAAAAAAAAGGACTAACAGGAGAGAAAACTTTACAGGAGTGTTGGAAAAGAACAAAGAATCCTCGAGAGATACGAAAATTCCTCCAACTAATTCAGAGTTACGACACAGGGACCCTCATATCCATATAATAAATAAAAGCATCAACAGGGGAGAATTCAGCTACGCTTATTAGTGCAAATTATGTGAGGACTAAGACTATGTATGGCGCAACACCAAAGATACATAATGTACACCGAAATGAGCTCAGATTAAACATCACACAGAAACACACATGCGAATATGCTGAAGAGAGTGACAGTCAATAATTAAATTTCATACAGTTGATCTCCCAGCGGTATAAAATTAATTATAAATAACCGAATTGATATTTCCCAGCAGAAATGTCTCACCTCTCTTTGCAGGTGTACAAGCATAAACTTTTAATTGCCCCTAAAACCAATAATCGAAGTTTTGATGTTTCCGAGAAACATATCAAGAGCCAATATCGTCAAATCACAGCTGCAATAAATGCCGACACACACACAAATTCACATTCTATATAGTTTATAGACTTTTCCGCCTTTTCCAACACCCCAAAATCCACATTAGCTTCCGCATAAATACTGGGATGATTTTGAAAGTCAACAATTGCAGCGCAAGAGAATAGCATTTAATTCAATTTCATGAGCTTATGCGCTCTGCTTTCACATGCTAAAATATACGATAGCTCCGAAATTACTCCTAGAAATTCCTAGCGGAGGGGCAAAAAAAAAAACACCCTGTCACCAACACAATTGGATGCAATTTCATCTGATGGGTGGATAAAAATATAATAGAACATAACCCCGCGTGTCTTTATGAGGGAATTTTTCAATGTTGCCACTCACAAGCGACATAAAGCTTTTTCGGACGCATTCAGAAGTGCTTTTGGCACACACCCACATGTACAATCTCACACCCTCGCCAACCATTAAACTGCGGCCCCTCTGTTTGCCACCATAAACCCGATCCGGAACACAACACAAATTACAAATCCTCTCAACATGAATTAATTTCATATGCATGAACTGTTTAAATGAAGCACTGAGCAAACAATATGAGACTCCATCGTCTCTAATTTGTCCACGTTCTAAACTTGCCCATTTACTTCTCCACACATCGGGAAACTTTCCATTCTTTTCATC